AGCACTGGTTTTCATTGATTAGGATGAGCATTCTGCTAAGTTTGAGATTCCAGATACTAGCAGCCTTTCTCGGAAGTGCGCTTGTCACCATCTTCGCTGTTCTACTTGCTTACTACTACGATGCTATCGATGACGACTTGATGACCGACCTGGATGACGAATTCAAGAATGAAGTTAGAACTATCATACGAAAGCGTAAAGCAAGCGTCAAGAACGTACTCAAGGGCTCTCTCGGCCGAGCCTTTAGGCAAACTGAAGAACACAGCACTGCGTGGAGTGATACCCAAACGCGAGACGATCTGCGGAAAAGGCGCACCGCATGCTTCAACCAATTCGTACTTTCTTTAAGCAATCAGCAACTTGTTACGGGGTTGGCGCTTTTGATAATCACTGTCTCCAGCCAGGACAATTTGTCCGGCTATGAATTCTCAGTTGCTCACAGTCTTGCCTGGTTTTCTTCGACTACTCACCTCGCAACTTTGGACGTCTTAAGGCCGACTTTGAGATCTCAAAATCGATGGGTCCTGGCAATTCGTGTCTTTGGAATGTTTCTTCTGCTCATACTACTCACATATACCTCTTACCGCGTGTCACGGGAGATGTCTGCGTCGAAGCTGCCAGCGTCGTGCACAAGATGGCACATAGAGGCTGGCGCTGCAGCATCTCGTGTCATTCAACCCACGCTCGTACTTCTGATTATTTGGAGCGGATATACTTCTCGATTACTGGATATATGTCTGCAGGACAAACTCGATCCATGGGCTCCAATTACTAGTATCCTAGTAGAGAAATGCCCTAAACCCAGGGTTCTCACTCAAGAACAACAACGACAAAAAAGGATTGCGAATCGCAGGTGCAACATACTGCTTCGCATTCAAGGTCTCGAAAATGAGAACTCATCCTTCTTATCTTTTTATAAGTTTGCAACTAGACTGACCCTGGGGATTTTCGACTACAATCGGGCATTCATTTCGACCATACCAATGATATCCTTCAGCTTTTCTTATGGCGTGTCCCAGGTCGTTTCATATGCGTTCTTAAGTGCACCGACTCTAACGGAGGAAGCCAGGGAAATGGGATTTGGCCAACTCATGGCACTATTTCTTCTACTGCTGCCTTGCCTTGCAGCTGGGGAGGTGTACGGCGGTAGGTGCCTGTCATATTTCAAACAATTTATTGGCTTCCAATACTAAACCTGACTCAGACTACCAAAACCAAAAGTTGAGGGCGCGTTCCGCTCCTGCGAATGTCACACTTGTGGCAGGAACCCAAACGATGGAACGAACACAGCGTACGCGCGATCCTTACCAAATTAACTTCGAGCGCGTCAAAAAGTATCTCTTTACGGCCGCGGAGGATCCATGCGAGATTCCAGAAGACAGAAGAGATGTCTTATACGGGGAGTTTGTAGCCCTAACTCATATTGAATTACGTCTCCGCAAGCGTGGGAGCGCATCCCGTTTATCTCAGCTAGTGCTGCTCCATGCTTTTCTTAGTTTCATGTATGCGATCTTTTTCGTGAACATCGAACCAGGGATTTACTACGTAGGGTTCTCTGTGTTTCTCTTATGGGTACTGTTCGTTGTCCCAGACTTCCTGATGGGCCTACCGGCGTCGTCCAAAATGTCACCAGCCCAGCGCATTTATGTTGAGACGGAACGTTTAGTTGAGGAAAGCCAACGAACGTTGTCATCCTCAGGAACTCCCAGCAGTTCTGCTTGATGAGCGACGATGTTTATTGAATTATCAAAAGCTTCTGTTCTCTTGGCCCCTTTCCATGTTGCGTAAAGCGCAAACACTACCAAACTAAATTCAATGGCTCAAAAGTTCCCATCAATTTCCTGCATCACACACTGCCCGTGAGACTTCGTTAGCTGGCCGCTTGACTTGTTGAAGTATTGGTTGCTTGTCGGCTAGTCACAGGCGTGTCCGTAAGCTCTATCGGTGTTGTCGTATCTGCAACGGCACCTGGCGTACGAGCAGCCTCTTCGTCTGTTCCCCGTTGGCGCGTATCTCTTTGCCGCCGAGGTCGTTCTACACTTGTCGGTGGTCTCCAGAGCCACACAAACAAGATTGAAATGCACACAATTACAGCCATCAGCACCATTGGAAAACTGAGGTACGCGGCGATACCGTAACCAAGTACCTTCGCACCCAGAATCACGTCGTTAAACATGCCAAGAATGAAGGAAACCAGAACAATGATAGCGAGTATTGTGATACCAAGCCACATTAAAACAGAAACAAAACGACGCCCGATCTTGTACTTAGTTCCTATTCGGAGTTCAAGGTCCGCCAAAACGTGATCGGTGGCAATCTTTAGAAAACTGAGGAACACCAGCAGGGGCAAAACGAGGGCTCCGAGAAGAACAACAACGCCGAAAAAGTCGTACAACAACGGCCCCAAGTCCTTGAATCGCGTCTGCATGCTGAGAACTCCAGCGGATAGTGAAAGTGGCAAGAACATTGTCGCAAGTATGGCCAGTCGCTGGACACTATTCGTTTGTCTCATCTCACGACGTAGACCCAGGAATTTGATGTCGTGCTCGAGGCTGGTGGATAATCTCGACAGACATCCTCTGACTTCCGCGCAAAGACCATGTATCTCCAGTTGCAGTTCCCTAAATCTGGCTTGATCTGGTGTCATTGACGTAGTTGGGGAACCGGTCGAAATAGGTTGACTCGCAATCGCTTCCTTGGCAATTTCAACCAAGAATTCGATCGCTTCCACCATTCGCTCTCCCGTCCTTTTTATGTCTCGAATGCGACAAGAATGCTTTGTGATTTCTTTCAGATGACCTTGTTTGAAATCGGAGCGTCGAGGGTCAAAAAGGGGCTGCTTGTCGTTCATATAGGATTCTTCGTAGGCGACAACAAATTCAGTGTATATTACTAAATTGGCGTGGTAGTATTGGAGACTGAACATTTGCTTCCACTTCGATGTGCGCTTGAATACCAGATACATGTGATCAAGTCCATATAAATGGCTTGCGAATGAGGCTGTGGCTTTAAAGGAGTCGCGTGATAGTGCCTGGGCAGTTGAGTTGCCTATGAAGCGCTCGGGTCTTTCGACTTCCGAAAGGTTATCCGGCACAGTGGAACTGTGAGGGACAAGCGTCTTACATTGGATGAACACTGTCAATGACTTCAGTACTATTCTCGACGAAGCGTTCGAAACATGGATATAGGTAATGGCCATACCAAGACAGTGATTATCATGTTCCTGGAATAGAATGTTGCGTTCCACGCGAGCAAAGGAGACGTCTTTGCGAAACTCCCTGGCCGGCAAGAGTTCGAAAGATTCCAGGCGACACCAACGAATGCTTGGCCAATTTCTCTTTGATGACAAAGATATAAGGCCAGTCGTGTATTGGCTCAACGGGGGAATTTTGCAGCGAGAGGCAGTGGCTTCGTCGTCCAAATCACGAACACCATCGTCGCTAATGCTGACGTCGATTCCACTGCCGTTGCTGTCGCCGTGATTGCCGTTTCTTGTACTATTATCGTCGTAGCTGTAATAGCTGTAACTGCTGCCGTTGCTGTCGCCGTGATTGCCGTTGCTTGTACTATTATCGTCGTAGCTGTAATAGCTGTAACTGCTGCTGTTTTCATCGTCATCTTCGGGGCTCCGAATTCTCCCAGGTCCTCTTCTCGTATTGTTCATTGTTTTGAAGCTGATGCTGCCGGCGCCGCAGTCCCACAGGAGTTCCTTGTCATGATCCTCAAGTACTTCCACCACGTAGACTAGGGGCGGTCCATTTTGCAGCCTGGGAATAGAATTGAGAACCAGAGCCAGATCCGCGGCCGATTCGCAGACTTTTTCTTTGCTGACTGGCTCATTTGGTCGGGTGCGGTCTGAAGCAGCGTCTGTAATGTCCCAGACTCGGACGTAAGCGTATCGATCATGCCCTCTGATTCGCGTCCAAATGTCGTCGAAAGAGTCGGACGATGCTTCTTTTAGTGCTGAAATGGACCGGCGCCATATGGAACGAGCGACACCAATGAAACGGGCAACAGCCAAATTTTTGGCCATCGCCACAATGGTACCGGCGCAAGCACCGAGCCAAAAGTAGAACTCGCCTCTGCTCATGACGGAATAAATGTAAGGGTACAAAGTCGACTTTGAAGGGGGTCACAGACAAGGCTTTGAAAGGGAATGGCTGGCGTATATGAAATATTCGGAGAGATCAGCACTGCATTTATGCGGCTACATCCGAGGCCAATCATTGGCGACGAGTAGCCCCCTTACAGAATTCCCTCCTGTACAATAAGACACTCATATGCTTATAAGCGTGGTACTTCGTTAGGAGACTGCTCTCTATTGAGTTTGCAACTTATTCCCTAGGTAATATCCTTTTGTCTTAGAAACGAAGAGGCGGCTTAGGTAGATGGTGTTGCAAACCTTCAAGTGTCGTATTGCATAAGCAAATGATCACTCAGCTCACGATTGTTTCATTTTGTTCGCAAACCTCTTCTTGTTTTCAGGCTGTTGAGCCGATTTGTTCGGACTGGGTAAGCCGCACATCAACGCTTCAAAGTCGAGACGGCCGGGTTACAAGATCATGTCGTTCTAACTGAGAGCTTAGCTTGTGACTTTGTGAGGCGCGAAACTTTGTTTTATTATGCCTTCATTGGTTGAATCTACGGTCAAGCGTTGCTGCTACAAGTCAGTATAATATCAACAGAGAACCCTTTGCCTGACTTGATCACCAATCAGGGAATGTGAGCATAGTCTCCAGCTGCTGGCTGAATAAACACCAGCGAAACCTCACGATACGAATCGCACCACACTGTCAACAACCATCCAATCTTACATATTAATACAAGTGTATTCATCATCATGTCCAAGGACAGCCCAAGTCCAGTCCTCAGCGCTATGCATCGCAACCAAATCCAGTTGCCTCCATCCCAAGAAGGCCAGTAAACCCAAAAGCCCGCAATGCCATGCTAACGCAGTTTCAACTTCACGCCTTCCTTTTCTCCCTTCCTTCCATACTCCCTCAACTCTCCGTCTCCATCTCCAGGTCCGGATCAACCTCCGTCCCCAAGTCCCTATCCTCCAAGAACCGTCTCCCCAGCAGCTCCTCAGGCAGATACTCCTGCCTCACCCGTCCCTCCCTATAATTCGGCGGGTACTTATACTCAGCCCCGTACCCCATCTCCCTCATCAACCGCGTCGGCGCGTTTCTCAAATGCAGCGGCACAGGCAACGCCGCCACGCCCGGCTCCCTCAGCGCCGCGTACGCATTATTCAACCCCCGATACGCCCTCGTGCTCTTCGGCGCAAGGCTCAACGCCACCGCGCAGTGCGCCAGCGGTATCCTCGCCTCAGGCATGCCAATCTGCTGCGCAGCAGTATACGCCGCCGTCGCGAGCGGTAGCAGCGTGTTATCCGCGAGCCCGACGTCCTCCGACGCGATCACGACCATCCGCCGCGCCACGAACAGCGGGTCTTCGCCCGACTGCAACATCCGCGCGAGGTAGTACAGCGCCGCGTCCGGGTCGTTCCCCCGCACCGCCTTGTGGAACGCCGAGATGGTGTCGTAGTGCTGGTCGCCCGCGCGGTCGTACACCAGCGTCTTGGTCAGCGACGCCTTGATGTCCTCCTTCGTGATGCCCGGCCGGTTGCATATCGACAGCGCCAGCTCCAGCAGGTTCAGCGCCGTCCGGGCGTCCCCGTCCGCGAAGGCCGCGAGGTAGGTCACCAGCTCCGCGTCGATCAGCGGGCTCGGCACACCTCCCCCCTTCGCATTCTCCTCCTCGATCGCGCGCATTAGTATCCCCGCCACGTCCTCCCGCGTCAGCTTGCTCAGCGTGAACGTCCGGCACCGCGAGAGCAGCGCCGCCTGCACCCTGAAACTCGGGTTCTCCGTCGTGGCGCCGATGAGCGTGATCGTGCCGGACTCGACGGGGTGCAGGAAGACGTCCTGCTGCGCCTTGGAGAAGCGGTGGATCTCGTCGCAGAAGATGATGGTCTTGCGCCCCGTGAGCGCGCGCTCGTTGGCCGCCTCGGCGAAGTACTTCTTGCACTCGCCCACGCCGGAGCTCGTCGCGTTGAGCTCGATGAAGCGCGACCCGACGCTGTGCGCGATGCACCGCGCGATCGTCGTCTTGCCCGTCCCGGACCCGCCCCAGAGGATCATGCTCGGCACGCGGTCCGACTCGATGAGGCTGCGCAGCACGCCGTTTGGGCCGACCAGGTCCTGGCCGCAAACCTCGTCGAGCGTCTTGGGCCGCATTCGTTCCGCGAGGGGCGCTGCTCGCGCCGTCTTGGTGCGCTTCGTGGCCGGGCCCGTCTCGGGGGGTGCCATTTCCTTGTCGTCCTGCTCTGCGACTACCGTGCTGCCGCCAAAGGAGGGGGAAGGGACAGCGCCCGGGCCGTCGTCGAAGCTGCGCTTCACGCCTGCGGTGCGTGCGATGCCGCCGTTCGCGTTGGCGGGGGTGGTGAGGACTTTGGTCGGGGGAGCATGGCGTTTGGCGGCTGGGGTTGAGAAGAAGCTTGACGCGGAACGTTTGGCCTGCGAGGCGGAGGGAAGGGTCGTTTGCGTGCCGTTGGGAGCTTGACTCGCTGTCGGGGAGGTGGTACGGTCGGGGTTGAAGATGTGGGAGACGCAGCCGGAGTCGATGTGGGAGTTGATGAGGGTCTCCTTGACTGGCTTGTTGCAGATGGGGCAGTCTACGGCTGCCATTTTGATGGAGCTACTGCGGTTCGACGCATGCGAAGACGGGTAAGTAATTGGATTGGTGATTGGTGAAGTGAGTGTGGTGTCGCGGCAACGAATGTGGTCGATTCTTTCTTGGAGGTGCAGATGGCCAAACGAGTGGAAGTAAGTGGAAGACGCGCTCTGGGGAATTTTCCCGATGACGCGCCTTAATTGAGTTGCAGCTGTGGGAGCTCTCGCAAATTCTAGTGGGGCCGGCACGCCTCGCTCCGCAACAGCCGACTGTGACCCGCCGGGACCCTGGGCAGGTGCCAGGTGCCTTGTCGCTCAAAGCCGGCTGTTCATTTGGAAGGTGTGGGGAGGATGGATCGGTGCCGGCACTCGGATTCGGAGATACACTGTGCCATCCGTCTGCCCGCCCCCGATGGGACGAACGCCCCGGGAATGATCTCATCGAAGGGGGGATGGAACCGATACACCGCCACTACTGCCTAGACAATTGCCTGCCAGCGAAGATGTGCTGAGAAAATAGTTGATTCTCGCCCAGACTCGCGGTCCAGGTCTTTCTCATAGGTATCATTACACCTGGTTAACGCCTCCCAATGCCGTCCAGTGACCTACAGTCCCAATTTGATGCTCTGATCGAACGTGATGTACACGACGCTGTAGCATATGTACAATGCCAATGCCGTCCACCGACTCGTCTCTGTCTATGGAAAAAGACCGCGGCGCTGAATGAATTGTGTATCCCATGCAGCAAATCTACATTGCCCTCCCGCCATTAAGTTCATCATACCATGAACGACTCGCCGCAGCCACATTGCTCCTCTGTGCCATCTTCGTCAGCCAATGCTCACTCAACTCCTTCCCCAGCCACAGCTCAAGGAAACGCATCAAGGGGGTGGTACTCACTGATGTTCGGGTTCTTAAACACAAACCTCTGGCTCAACTTGTCCTCGACCCAGTCCATCTCGCTGCCGATGATGCTGAACAGCGCCTTGCTGTCAATCAGCACCTTCACGCCGTCCTGCACCACCTCCTCGTCGAAGCTGCCCGGCTTCTCCACGAACTCGAGGTGGTACGCCAGCCCCGAGCACCCGCGGTTCCGCACGCCGACCTTGATCAGCTTCGGCTCCGGCTGGTCCAGCAGCGCGCGCAGCTGCTCCACCGCCGCGGGCGTCAGCTTCATCGCCGCCTTGCGCGCGCGCAGCTTCGACCGCGGGCGGGTCGGCTTCGGCGCGGGCGTCGATGACGTCGTGGTCTTTGCGGCCGCTGTTGGTGTTGGCTCGGCTGCGGAGGGCTTTGTGGGTGTCGTTGAAGGGGTAGAAGACTGCTGCTGCTGCGGTGTGGCGAGCTGCGAGATCTTGGGCGGCCTCGTCTCGTTGACCTTCGGGAGGGGATCCGGCTGCGCGATCGAGCCCTCTGCGCCGTCGGCACGCGGTGGCGGGGGCGTGGTGTTGGGGTAGAGAGGGTAGGACTGGAAGGACGGGCTGCCGTAGGCTCGGCGGCCGGCGACGCAGGGCGAGTAGGCGCATTGCATCGCGGTGCAGGAGCGGCGGATCGCCAGGCGGGTGAGTATCCTCGGGGCGTTCATCGTGGGAATCTGGATTAGAGGTTGGGTGGGTGGGTAGGTTGGTTTGTTTGCGCAAATAACCGGTTCTGGCGGTCTGCTTTCGTCTAGGCGGTCCCAGCAATTGAAGAGTGCTCGTGAGGAGACGTCGAAGGATAGTGTTATTAGGGAAGGTTGAGAGGAATAGTCCGACGGCAACGGAAAGTTGGTGGTTTGTTTGTAAGGTCGGAGGTTTTTTGCTCGGTTGGTCGGGTTGGGGGGATTCGACTCCAATGAGTTTGCGGATCAAAAGTGTGGCTGCACTCGGAGCAGAGCAGACAGAAGCTGGGGCCCGGGAAGGGGTCAGTTGACAGGATTTGGCTGTGGCCCCGTGGCGCGGCTATGACATGGCCACTGCGCTGCCGGGAATTCTCGAGCTCTGGGCCAATCAGAGGCCGGTAATTTGTCAACGGCGGGTGGATATGACAAAGCAAGCCTCACAGCATGTTGGATGACTCTTTGCTCATCGTCCCTTCCTGTGGCGTTACCTCTCTCTTAGGTAAGACGATACGGCAAGGATATCTGATGAAGGGCCGACGGTAACTTGACACCTTGACGGCTTGAGGTGCATTATTCATGGATTCCGTTCATGCTGCAATAAATCGAATGATGTTTTGGAATGAGACCATTGGCATTAGGTTTGCTCGGAAAGTCAAAAGTCGCTTCGGCTACATTCTCGGCAGCAACCGAGCAGAAGGACGTGGGGGTCGATGAGCCGCGAGACATCAGCCGCCCTTCCTGATCATCTGTTCCTCGAGGACGCCGTGAGTATTGGCAAACATCAAGGATATCATGAGGATTGGGTAACACGTCTTCGCCCGTATCTTATGGCTTCACAACATGACGATAATCACGCATTATTATCAATTGCATGAGCAAAATGGGACGGAACACCATCAATTAGACTATCCATCATATCAATCATCATTACAAATTCATACAATCTACCCCCTTCCAACCCTCATCATGACCGCTCAACCATCCCCCTCACATCCCCCACCGCCGCCCTCGCCATCTTCTTCAACAGACTCCTCTCGTCCGCCTCCCGATACCGCTCCCACGTATCCAGCCCCTCCTTCGCCTGTATGCTCAGCGTCTCGTACCCCTGTTTAATCACCTCCGTCACCTCCACGCTCGTCAGGTTCGCCTTCTTGCGCCCGCCCTCCAGCAGCTCCTTGTAGTGCGTGCTCACACTAATCAGCGTGTCGATCGAGTTGCTCTGCCTCTTCCCCAGCGCGTAGCTCTCCTTGAACTTGCCCAGCACATCCCCCGTCTCAACGACCTTGTAGAACAGATCGTCGTACGCCGCCGCGCCCGGCAGGAACGCCTCGCCCGCCGACAGCGACAGCGCGAGCAGGTTCACCACGTTGTCCACCAGCAGGTCCACCTGCGCCAAGTCCTTCAGGTCCGCGACGTACGTCGTCAGGAACCTGACCAAATTCAGCAGCGCGCGGAAGAGGTCTGCCCAGTGGTACGCGAGCCGCGTGCGGCTGCGGCTCAGGTACGACACGACGCGCAGCATGATGCCCACGCACAGCGTGTACAGCCCGACGTCGAGCCGGCGGCGCAGGTTGTGCGTGATGCCGTCGACCATGGTGTCCAGCACCGCCGTCGCGAGGATGCGCTCGCCGCGCACGAGGGGCAGGTACGGCTGGCGCTGGCGGCACAGGCGCACGGGCGTCTTGCTCTCGTCGCTGCAGATGCGCTTGCAGAGCACCGGGTCCTCGATCAGCAGGCGGAACACCATGAGGTTGAGGTGCGAGTAGTGCGTCGTGCGCTCCGAGAGGTGCGCGTGCTGGAGGAGGTAGGAGGTGAGCGAGGTGAAGGCGGCGAGGGGCTGCTCGGCGCCCTTTTCGGCGGGGAGCGTGGCGAGGTTGAAGCAGAAGAGCTTGTTGGCGTGCGTGAAGTCGTACGTGGCTAGTAGCACGGCGGCTTCTTCCCCTGGTCTGTGATCGTGCGTCAGTAAGCGTGAGTTCGGGTTTGATGTTGTATGTACTCACAGGTTCGTAAACATGGTCTTCATCGTCTCGGCGTCGTGTACGGGCTTCTTCTCCGGCTTCGGCCCCCTGGCGACGACACCCAGCCCCATCATCCGCAACGTGCCGTTCAGCGTCCACCCCTCGGGCAGGTCCTCCTGCACGTCCACGTACTGCGTCCTCAAGCTCTGGCACGTCTCGCCCACGCACCTGATGATCTTCCGTATCGTCGTTTCGTTGACGAAATCGTTGAGGCGCATCTGGTACGGGTTCTGGAACTCGAACTTGTTGTAGTTGGCGAGCAGGCCGAGGAGGGTAAAGGGGTAGAGGATACGTTGTGTCGAGTCCGCGTCTTGGATGAACTGGTCTCCTGTCAATCTTGCCAGTCCTCTAGATTCTTTTGTAAATAAAAGATTACCTTCATGACCGCGGGAAACAGATCCCTCTGAATGAAATACGTCAACAGACTCGTCTGGTACGCCCCGGCAGTAACAGCCAGCACCACCTCAACCGCCTTCTGCCTCAACTCCAAGCTCTTCCCGCTCCGTATAATCAGATCCAGCGCGCCGACGAAATCCGTAAAGACGGTGTCGACGTGGTCGATCCCCGCCAGCACGTTGATGATGTCCGAACTGGGGTGCGCATACTTTTTCGAAAGCGCCGAGCACAGGAATATACTCAATGTCTACCGTCGTCAGTCCTCTACTCCGCAACTCCCACCGCCAGCCTGACACCAGGGAAAGGACTCACATCAAGCGCATGTAGATCCGCAACTCCCTGCCCGCTCTTCACAGCGCCCACCGCCCTCGCGAACAGCTCCCTCGTCTGCTCCTCGAGCGCAAGCATGTCCGCGGGCCCGAGGCCGTCCAGTATCCGCCGCAGCGCCGCGCGGTCCGGCCTCAGCAGGAAGAACTCGCGCCAGAAACCCTCGGTCCGGTCATCGTCTTCGTCGTCCTTGAAAAGCTCGCCATGTTAGCCCGTCTCGAGGTTTCGGCTTCGTCGGGAAAGGGTTGTTGAATGGGTCGGATCGGCGGACTGTGTCAAATCACAAGAGGAGGACGGCAACCTCCAAAGCCGGTCACCTAGGCCGCATCGCGAGCTTCAAACCCGCCCGCGGTGGAAGCTCCGGATCGCAGATCCCTCCCCCAGTCGCGCAAAGGAAGAACCAAAAAGAGAAAGACGCACCTATCCACGCCCGCCCGTTAGCCGCAATCCCAGAATCGCAAATGCGCATTCCCTTCCCAGACAGTTACGAACCTTGAACAACCCCTCATACAGCTCGACAACCTTGGGCTTAAACACCTCGGGCGGAGGCTGCCTCGTCAGCGGTGATGCTTCCATTCCCGCGCAGCGCAGCACCCTATTCCTCGTTTCCGTTCGTTCGCTTTTCCAATTCCGTTCAGCGGGTATTCGATATCGCAGGCAGTCCAGGAAAAATACAA